TGCATGCTCGCTTGAGACAAAGAGATGGAAAGTGAGAAACCACCCCAAGGAAAATAGCCCTTCTGCAATCCCTTCTCCTCCATTATCCTTTTTGGATTTTCTTTACACGCACACACGCACTCAGCATGAGTTTCATGCCTACGGTCTCAACTTGAACCATGGTGAGCCATGTGGGAGTCCAGCAATTATAACCATTTTGCCATCTACTTACTTTTTCCCAGTGAATTGTCTGTAGCAGACAGAGGTATTCCCAATCAAGGGAATTTTAGGTTTTTGCCATGGGGTGCATGAGTTTGTAGGAAAGAGACAGAGCAATGGAAAGTGAGAAACTCTCCCCCCACAGGGGATGGCCACACTGCAATTCCTTCTTCTCCATTTTCCTCTCAGGGTTTGGGCATGCACACACATGTGCCTGGTGTGATTTTCAAGCTACCAGGTCTGGGCCTCAAACTGTGGTTGGCCATGTGGAAATCCAGTGCCTTAACCACTACTCCTCCTTTTGGCCCCCATGCCAATTATTTTTAATCCTGCCCTTATACTACTGTTGAAAGCACTCAGTATCTGCTAGCTATTGTTGCAAATGGTCTCTCCCCTGACTGCATTTTCTGAAATATAAACCTGATCTAATATTTCCTTCCCTCACTTTTTTGTATCTCCTAAACTTATGCAAAAGACTCATGTATGTATCTGTCGGCATCTGACTAAAAACTACTAGAAAGCCAGTAAATGCTATTAAGTCCCTTTTCTTTCTTTCTTTTCTTTCTTTCTTTCTTTCTTTCTTTCTTTCTTTCTTTCTTTCTTTCTTTCTTTCTTTCTTTCTTTCTTTCTGCTTTTCTTCTCTAGGGGCTACCATGTCAATTTGTTGACAGCTATCAGAGTACTTCATGCTCATTGAAGACCCATCAAAATTTTCCAAATTGTCAGCTCATTAGCAGAAGATGGGGCTTTAGGAATCTCTTTCCCCTAGGGTCCCAACTGTGCCAGATTGAGTTCCAACCTTGGTGTACCACTCTGACACAATGGATAAAGACCAAAAGGAATTTAGTGATGGATGTTAATTAGTTTTTAAGGAGTGAAACATGGGTGAAGACAAAGTACATGGGACAGAAACTAGTATCATCTGTGTTAGCAGAAAGATAATTCATGACTTTTCTAACCATTCACAATTCACTGAATGTCAGAGCTTCAAGGGCCCAGAGTTGTCCCAAGAGGTCATCTAGCCAGGTTGCACCTTTCATCCTTAAGAGTAAAGAGAGGCTACAGGAGGGAAAAGTGACTTGTCCAGGGTCAGTCAGTACTGCCCAACTTTTAAGACACCAGCTGGCTTTTGGTTATATGACCTTTATTCTATGTAATCAATTTTCAATTACTTGGGACACTACCTGCTAGCGATCATTTGGATAATCCAAAATGACACATAAGTTAACCATTGTTTACATTGGGTTTTGCGATGTGTGTTTATAAAAACATTCCAGCACATCTGGGTCCAATCTGAAAATTCACAGCACTTCAAATGTAACAATACAGCTACTCTAAAGGTCTTGATTCAGGAAGAGCTAGGAAGTTAACTAGCCTTACTGATTGGACAGCATAATATGATATTATACAGCCTCTCAAGCAGTGTATGTTAATTTCACCAAGTTTGTTGATTCACACTGTTCCTGGGCTCCAGTCAGAGTTGTGAGGGGAGGTAGTGGGAAGGAGAAAACAAAAGCTTTTACATAAGAATATTTATATCTTCTTCCCTCTCTCCCTTCTGTTCATTCTTTCTTCCCTTTCTTCCTTTTTCTCACTAGAAACATGAACTTTATATAAATTGTGTGATTCAACTGTTGGCCTAGAAAATGAGTTGTCGGGACTGGGCAGGGATGGGGAAGACTAGTGAGCTATAATTTAAAAAGGACCCAAAATAATCAAATAGAGTCTTATTTCCTGACGTGGACCCATTTGGACTCTAGGATTGTGCTAACTACCCAAAATGTGCTGGTTTGTTGTCTGAGCATCCTCACACTTGTACTGAAGTAGCATTGTTACATTCCACATGTCTATCCCATGGAGGATGCTGTTGGTGATGAGAAGGGGTATGAGATAGAAAAAAGAGGCATGAACAGTCGGTCTGAGGCTATAGTCCAAGAAAGAATCTCTACAAGGACTCAGCACCAGCTGAGGCAGTGGTAGGGAATGCAAAATGCCTGAGCTTTTGCTGCAGCAATAATCAAGCCTTTTAGTTTAAAAGGTCCCCCCCCCTTTCATCTTCTGGCCTAAAATAAACAGAGATCTTGCTGATATAACAGAGCACTTCATTAACCAGAGGTGGTACTTAATATCAATACATATTGAAGGAAAGACATGTTATGGGTAACAGTAATGTAGATAATTGAGTTGTATGAGTAAAAATAGGTAGAATGAATTAAGACTAATGTACACCAACAGGGGAAATCCATTAACACTCATCAGTTAGATTCCTGTTTGTGTTTCTTTGTTAGTCCAGGAAGCCCTTTCAAATGGCTGATCCCTGTTGAAAGTTCTGCCTAGTACCCAGGGCCTTCCATGAATGCCAAAGGAATGAGTCATTCAAATAGAACTTCTAAAATTCAAGTGCAGCACTTTGCTTTTCCCTTTCCCTTTATTTTATTTTATTTTATTTTATTATTTTTGCAGTAAGCTCCAGTGACTGTGAAGTAATGATGACAAGGGAAATAAGAATGTAATCCTAATTAATTTGCTTTGAATTATTCCCCATTTACCAATATTGGCTTGGCTTGTCTTGAGTGGTGACCCAGGGTACCAGTACAAAGGTATAAATATATATACTCAAGGTCACTTGGCCAACCTATCATTTGTCATTCAAAGGTTAATTTAAAAGAAAAAACCAGGTTAGAAGCAATAAATTTAATAACATACTGTGATTTAACTTGGAAGTTTATTTGATGAGTTTTTTAAATCCTGAATTAACATTTTTCTCCTGCACTAAGGAGGTCTTATCTGCCAAATTGCACATGAACTGGCAAACCTAAAGGTCAGCAATATTCTTCTTATTTTTCTTTAGAGAGAGATTTTTGCTATAGGGCACGTGTGCTTCCCCGAGAGACAGAGAGACAGAAAATGAGAAGTCACCCCCCTCCCGGGGGAATGGCCACACCAAAATCTCTTTTCCTCCATTCTCCTCTTGGGATTTTGGGCACACATACACATGTGCCCATGAGTTTTAAGCCATCAGGTCTGCGACTCAAACTGCAGTTGACTATGTGGGAGTCCTGTGATGTAACCATTACACTGTCTGCTGGTACCATCTCAGCAATATTCTAAATTTCATAGTGTGGGGATAGATTGGGGGGGATGCAATAAAAGATTGAGAGAAAGATTGAAACAAGAATAGAAGTATAAAAATACCCTCAGCCAAGACCATCCATTAGTCACCCCATTTTGAATCTACCTTTCCCTAAGAATTGTATTATTTAATCATTCTTACATGCCATGATTCCTTGCCCCCCTCCCAAAAAAATCTCTCCTGCTTACTTCAGCATGTTGTACCTTCTCTTTATTTGACCATCTCAATGGACATAGCCCACCACTGAGATCAACAGCTATGAGCTTTGTTCATTTCTATATCTCTGACATTTAGCCATGTTATCCTGTGCATACCAGAAATTCACTCGATACTTGAGGACTGAATTAATGAGTGGATGAGCTGACTTCTATTAACACAGATGGAACTGATGTTTTTCTAATAGGTAGAACTCACCTTCTGTAGTAAAAGGAATGTTACATGGCCAACTTAGTGGCATAGCAATAGCACACTGCTCAAGTGATGCCAGACTGATATGGAAGATAACAAGTTTGGTTCCCCAGTCAACCTGGGTATGCCAGTCATACATGCCTTTGATCTTGATACTGGCTGGCTGAGATGGCTACAAAGGAATGGATCATGGTGGGAGACTCTGTTGAGAGTCTTAGTCTCTTGTTCTCTCTCTCTCTCTCTTATGAAAGAAATATATAAACCTTTAATAAAAAGAATGTTACATATAAAATTAGTCATAAGCAAGGACCTTTAGCGACATTCTTCTTTGCTTTGCTTTTGCCTACCCTAGTTGTTATTCTATTCTTGCTTTCTATGCCTCCCAGCCTGATAGCCTTCCTGCTCAGATTTCCCTGGTCAACAGTAATATGGTAGGCTGTGGTGGAACACTAAACACTATATTCCCAACCTTTGCTGAATGTTCACTGTGTGCCAGATACTGGCAGCACTGTGCTAGGCACTTGTTAAAGGAACATTGGTAAATGAACAGCTGCACTCTTTGTACCTACTTCGTATCTTTTGGATTTATGATTTCACTCACAGAATGTTGAACTGCAAGCCACCTTCAAGGTCTTCAGATCTAACCTCCTTGAGTATAATGGAGCTCATATTTTTAAAGGATTTATTGTTTCGAGACACTTCATATACTAACAACTCTATGAGATAGGTATTCTTGTTATCTACACTTAACTTTAACATATGAGATATCTGAGACACAGATGTTAGATAACTTCCTCAGGGTCAAACAGCTAAGAAGTATTACAGCCAGGATTCAAACTCCAGTTTTGCAGACTTCAAAGCCTGCCCCAAAATAGGAAAGGTCATGTTGCTGAAGCCTAGCTCTTCTGGGTCTAATTTGTGTGTTTATTTTGCTTTGCTATACTGCTATTTAGCCACACTGAAGTTTCTTTTGGGTGTACTTTCTTATTTAGAAGCACTTGTTTCCCTCAGCATGACTGTTCATTCCTCCAGGCAGGGAAAGCATTATTTCTAGGTTGCCTCCTTCCTCAAGAGTTCACCCCAGCTTTACCTTCAGTAAATAATGGACTATGTGGTAAGTTCCTTAGCTTGCTCCTGGGATCTGCTTGTATTCATTCTCTAGTACCATATGTGGCTCCAAGATTGGAAGGAGCCAGAAAATAAAATTTGGGGTAAGAAGTCACCTTACCATCTGCTTTCTGCTTTGTTCTCTCCAATACAGATTGAAGATGGGGGCAAGGCAGACTTGTCCCAGAAGATGAGGACTGGTGATGAGCTAGTGAATATAAATGGCACTCCATTGTATGGCTCCCGCCAAGAAGCTCTTATCCTCATCAAAGGCTCCTTCCGAATCCTCAAGCTGATTGTCCGGAGGTAAGGTACAGGGAGATTTGTTGTAAGATGCACAGGCCATTGGAATTACTTGATTTGTCATGATAGAGTCATGTCTCTCTCAATATCCTCAAGGAATAACATTTTATGTGAACAGCCTTTGGCAGACAAGTAATGCAGAATGGCATAGAGGAAATGGCCTTTAAATAAAATCCTAGCAATTCCATGAACTAACTACATCACCTAGCATAAGCTAATTTTACACCTGAAAGACTCAATTTCCTTGTTTGCTATTGAGAGGACTAAATGACTCAATACAAATCAAGCACCTACATAATCTAGCAGATTTTTCCTTCATTTTGTCATTATTATTTTAATATTACATTTAATCAAATTTATCTTGCTTGTAAAGAGAATTTGCCCAACATGAAAGCCAACTCAGACCAGTTCAGCTGAGGATACTATACACGTTATCATCAATAGGTAATAAACCATTTTTCTGAGTTCCACAAGTGTCTTACCTCTATTTTTTCTCCCTGATTTCCTCCCCAATATTCTTCCCTTCTCTCCCCGCTCTGCATTGTCTTCAGCATCCATAACTATTTTCATGCTTTTTTCCTTTTTTTATTTATATTTTAAAATACATTCTATTACATTATTTAGCTTGCAAAGTGATCATTTCAGTATGTGAACATTTCTCCCCGGTCCAGTTGATCAAAATATAACAACACTACCTCCCGGTCTCAACAATGGTGTCTCCATATCCCTCCTCCAAATGTTTTTCCCCAGTCCCCATCCACGCCAGATCCGGCATTCACACCCATCTCTTCTGTTTGTACATCCTTTAGCATGTCAGTTTCAGTTATAGATTGCAGACACTCGGTGTATATTAAGTGGAGACATACAGTGTCTCTCCTTCATAGCTTGGCTTGCTTCACTCAGCTGTAAATCTTCCATATTCTTCCACTTTCTGTCAAAAGCCAGGGATTTGTTGTTTTACATGGCTAAATAGTATCCCATAGAGTATATGTGCCACAGTTTTTTAATCCATTCATCCATACGGGGGCATTTGGGTTGGTTCTATGTCTAAGCAATCATAAAAAGTGCTGCAATATTCATTGATGTGCAAGCACTTTTCCAATGAAGAATTATTCTGTCCTTTGGGTAGATGCCAAGGAATGGGATTGCTGGCAGTTCTATTTGTAGACTTTTGAGGAATCTCCAAATTGTTCTCCACAGTGGTTGGACTGATTTACATTCCCACCAGCAGTGTAAGAGAGTTCCCCTTTCACTATACCCCCACCAACACTTATCATTTTTTTGTGTTTTTAATCTTATTCATTCTGACTGGGGTTAGGTGGTATCTCACTGATGTTTTGATCTGCATTTCCCTTACAATGAGTAATTTACAAAAATATTTTCCTATTCTGAGGGCTGTCTGTTCACACTAATCACTCTGTCTTTTGCCATGCAGAAACTTCTTAGTCTGATGTAATCCCACTTGTCTATTTTAGGGATCATAGACTGTGCGTCGGGAGTCTTCTTTAAGAAGTTTTTCCCTACCCCAATGTCTCCCAGAATTTCCCCAGTGTTTTCTAGAAGCAGTTTAATAGTTTGGGGTCTTATATTTAGATCCTTGATCCACCTTGGCTTGAAACTATTTCATGCTTTTATGCCCTCCAATCTTTTGGTTTTTACCATAGAGTGCAGATAGTCCATGCATATTAAGAGGAGACATACAATATCTTTCTTCACTTGCCTCACTCAGTAATAAAGCTTCCATATTTGACCACATTCTATCAAACGCCAGGTTCTTTTTTTTTTTTTTTTTTTTTTGGCAGAAGTGTAGTCCATCGAGTATATGTGCCACATTTTACCAATCCATTCATCTGTTCGTGGACATTTGGGTGGGTTTCATGTCTTAGTAATCGTGAATAATGCCACAATAAACATAGATGTGCAAACACCTTTCTGACTGAGCATTCTTCTGTCTTTCGGGTAGATACCCAGAAGTAGGATTGCTGGATCAAATGGTAGTTCTATTTGTAGATCTTTGATAAATCTCCATATTGTTTTCCACAGTGACTGGGCCAATTTACATTCCCACTAACAGTGTAGTAGATTTCCCCTTTCATCTAACCCCACCAACACTTATCATTTTTTTATATGTTTAATCTTCGCAATTATGAGAAGGTTTAGGTGGTATTTCATTGTGGTTTTAATCTGTGTCTCCCTTATGATGAGGGATGTTGAGAATTTCCTCATATACTTTTTTGTTCATGTGTTTTCCTTAGAGAGTTTTTTTGTTCAGCTAATTTTTCCATCTTTAAATTGGGTTAATCATTTTTTTCTGGTAAGCCACTTGAGTTCCCTGTATATTCTTGTTTATCAGACCCTTATTTGGGCATAGTTTACAAAAATATTCTCCCATTCTAAGGGGTGTTGATTCATACTAATTACTGTGTCCTTTGCTGTGCAGAGACTTCTTAATCTGATATAGTCCCACTTGTCTATTTTAGGGATTATTGCCTGTATTTTTGGAGTCTTATTTAAGAAGTCTTTGCCTACTGCAATGTATCCCAGTGTTTCCCCTGTGTTTTCCACTAGTACTTTTATAATTTGAGGTCCTAGATTCAGATCTTTGATCCATTTTGAGTCAATTTTTGTTAATCGTGAAAGACGGGAATCCAGTTTCATCTTTCTGCAGGTAGATACCCAGTGTTTCAGGCACCATTTGCTAAAGAGGTTTTTCTCTTCCCACTGGATTGACTGGTATCCATTGTCAAAAATCAGTTGGCTGGGGAACCAGCAGTTAGCATAATGGCTATGTTGCTGAACTCCCACGTAGTCGACCGTGGTTCGCGTCCTGGACCCAGTGGCTTAAAACCCATGCCAGGCGCGTGTGCATGCGTGCCCAGGATCCCGAGAAGAGAATGGAGGAGAAGGGATTGCAGCATGGCCATTCCCTCTGGGGGGTGATTTCTCGCTTTCTGTCTCTCTGTCTCTGTCTGTCTGGTGAGCGCACGCGCCCTATAGTGAAAAACCTCTCAAAAAAAAATCAGTTGGCTGTAAGCTTTGGGGGTTATTTCTGGGGCATCTGTTCTATTCTGTTGGTCCACCTGTCTGTTTTTGTGCCAATACCAAGCTGTTGTGATTATCACAGCTTTATAGTATATTTTGGGGTCAGGGAGTGAGATGCCGTGCCCTCTTTACTCTTCTTGTGCATGATTGCTTTGGCAGTATGAGTTCTTTATCATCCCAGACAAATTCTATGATTGTCTTTTGTAGATCTGTGAAAAATGTCTCTGGTATTGATTTGGATTGCATTGAATATGTAGATTAATTTAGGTAGAATTGTCATTTTGATTATATTCATTCTTACTAGCCAGGAACATGGGATGTCCTTCCACTGTTTTATATCATTTTCAATTTTTTTTAAGATATTCATAGTTTTCTTTCTAAAGGTCTTTGACTTCCTTAGTTAGCTTTATTCCTAGATATCATATATATTTTGTGGCTGTGGTCAAAGGGATTCCTTTCTTCACTTCTACCTTATTCAACTTGTTCATATATAGAAATGCTATAGATTTTTGAATGTTGATTTTGTATCCTGCCACAATATTGTATTCACTTATTACTTTGAGAAGTGGGAGGTTTCCTTCCTTTTGAATCTTTAGAAATAATTAGAATAGAGGGACCAACAGTTGGTGTAATGGCTATGTCACTGGACTCTCATGTAGTCAACTGTGGTTTGAGTCCTGGACATGGCGGCTTAAACTCACGCTTGGCGTGTATGTGTCTGTGATCAAGATCCCAAGAGGAGAATGGAGGAGAAGGGATTGCTACGTGGCCATCCCCCCTGAGGGGTGATTTCTCGCTTTCTGTCTCTCTGTCTCTTTCTGGCGAGCGCACATGCACTATAGCTAAAACCTCTATTAAAAAACAAAGAAATAATTTGAATAGAAAGGGGTTAACTTATCTTTAAAAATTTTATAGAATTCAGAAGCAAAGTCATCAGGACCAGGGCTTTTCTTTGTTGGGAGGTTATTTATTAACTGATTCAATCTCATGGTTTGTTATGGATCTATTCAGGTTTTCTATGTTCTCCTGATTCAATCTTGATAGATTATATGCATACAGAAATTTGTCCATCTCCTCCATGTTCACATTTTTGTTGGCATACAGTGGCTCATAGTATCCTCTAATGATGTTTTGTATTTCTATTGTGTTTATTGTAATGTTACTTTTTTCATTACACATTTGATTTATCTGGCTTCTTTCTTCTTCATCAATATAGCCAATGGTGTGTCAATCTTGTTAATATTTTCAAAGAACCAGCTTTTGCTTTCATTAGTTTTTCTATAGTATATTTCGTTTATTTTCTATTTCATTATTTATGCTCAAATCTTTAGTTATTACTTTTCGCCCTGCCTTTTTTTGTTGTTGTTATTGTTATTTTTCCAATTCCCTGAGTCATGATGTAAGGTTGTCTATTTGCCACCTTTCTATCTTTTTGTTATGTACAGTAATTGCTATGAATTTCACTCTTATATCTGCTTTTGCAATGTCCCATAGATTATGGAAACTTATGTACTCATCATCATTTGTTTCCATAAATTTTTTTGATTTAAGACTTCATTTCTTTGGTAGTTAAGAAGGAGGGTGTTTAGTTTCCATGTGTTTGTTTATTTTCAAGTATTTTCTTGAAATTAATATCAAGTTTATTTATCATGGTCAAAAAAGATGCTGAATATAGTTTCTATGCCTTTGAATCTGTAAAGACTTGACTTGTCCCCTATCATATGATCAATATTTGGAAAGGTTGTAGGCAGGAGTGAGAATAATATATATTTTGTGGTCTTAGTGTGGAAAGTTTTATAGCTATCTGTCAAATCCATTTTATTTATAGAATCATTTAGGTCCTGTATCTCCCTGCTAGTTTTTTTATCTAGAATATCTGTCTAAAGGAGGTAATGGGGTGTTGAGATCCCCAACGATTATAGTGTTGCAACCTATTTCTCATTTTATCTCTAGCAGTCTTT